TCCCAGGGGCCTCGTTGTGCCAAAGGCCAGACAAGCAAAAACAACGTTATTCGCACCGGTGGCAGAGCTGCGACACGATCTTCGGAATCGTAGCGCTGTGCGCAGGGCTCGTTTCTTTCATATATATATATATAGAGAAAGAGAGAGAGAGAGAGAGAGAGAGAGAGAGAGAGAAAGAGAGAGAGAGAGAGCGCCACCACCGCCACACCTCACCGAGCAGTCACCCTTACGACGGGATGGTCTCCGCCGCCATGGCGGTGTCTTCCCTTCGCTGTCGTCCAAACGCTGGCGCGTCGACGCGATCGGATACGAAGAAGGGCTCTTACATGTACGACGGCACGGTAAACAATCTCCATGCATGGGCATTTCGCACAGTGGCGCGCATGAGCGCCGCTCTAGCCGCCACAGACCGCGACGCTGGAGAACCACAACCACGGGGGCTGTCCGCAGCTGTCAGTAAAGACACGCTAATCCGAAGCTGTAAGGCTATATGGCCATGGTTATCGGTAGAGACACGCTTCTGATTGCGAAATGAATCCACCAGTTGATACTGGCGATCCGCAATTCGCTAAGTAGGCCAGATACCATACGGGCCGATGCCACGACAAAACAATGAGCCAATGTTTTGGTACATCTCGCGTTGAAAGAGTTTGTGGAAACTTGTCGCGCAACTTGACCCGGCACTTGCCATGGGCAACGACGTGCTTGGATCTCATCTCGTGGGCCACGCAGGCCTGGCACCTTCAGGCAACCTGATGGTACTGCATCCACAGGTGACGTGACCATCTTAAACAATACCAGAGACGTCTTGATTCTTCAGTACGGACGCATGCACTCCCGCCAGGAGGGCAACGGCGATTCTCCCAGCAAGAGCTTCACCCCTGCACAGCACAAGCCCAGCTACCCTAACAGGAACAAGGGCAAGGGCGAGACCCGGTATGTCATGCCACCGCAGGCCTACCACGCTGCCGACAACAGTGAGCATGAGCAGGAGGAGCGCGATCTTGAGGAACGGAGCCCTTACGGTCATTGCGCGACTGGCTAGGCTCCCGAGCATGGCTGGGACGACGCAGCCTGGGTTGACGCGGCTCGGATAGTAGACGGCCGAACGGAGGGCCTGGCTTGGACTGGCGAAAAGGTGCGCAGGGGGAAGGCGATCTCGACGCTGAGGCGACCCATGAGATGGCCAAGGCAGGCTATGCGGAAGGAGTTGCGTCCGAAGTGATCCAGGAATCGCCAACCTCGGCGCCAAGGGGAAAGGCAAGGGCAGTGGCAAAGGCAATGGTTGCCACTCCACCTCTTCCGACTTCGCCACCAACGTGCGGTGACAGAGGAACGCCGACCCTGGGAGATCGCAAGAGCCGCCCCCGTGATATCAAGAAACGCTCCAAATGCAAGTTCCGCCACGAGGGTGGCCGCTGGTCAGGGGGCCCGAGTGCGCGGGCGAACCCATGGCGGCCATGGTAGCGTTTCCCAGTGATCGAAATCTTCAGTTGTGCGGGGACCGTGGCCAGCAGCTCGCGCCCATTTTGTGCGTTGCTGCGTCGCCCGCCATCCATCTCATCGGCAGTGGCCAGGTATCGCGGCCAGGCGTTCGTACTTTCTGTTCTTCCTTCTCGCCTCGCATCGCGCAGTGGCGCGGGGCATGTTTGAGCGAGGGAGAAGAGTGCGACGGTCAGTTTTGCCTGTCGGTTTGTCGCGTGGACGAACGCGCGTGCAAAGGATGTCATGGGGAAGTTCAGTCGCCCGACCGTTCGTGGCCACATAGGGGACTTCACCGAAGGTCCCAGTGGCGCTGTCCGCATGCGTTTCCTCACCCAGCACAGCGCTTCGTGGCCTCATAGGGAGCTCCACCGAAGGCTCCAGTGGCGGCGTCCGCCGGGTACAACGTTTAGTGGCCCATAGGGAGCTCGACCGAAGGCCCCAGCGGCGGTGTCCGCAGGCATCTTCCCCACCCAGTGCAACGCTGCGTGGCTCCATAGGGAGGTCCACCGATGGCTCCAGTGGCGGTGTTCGCATGCGTCTTGCCGCAACATACAGCTTTTCGTCGCCCCACAAGGAGCTCCACCGAAGGCCCCAGCGGCGGTGTCCGCATGCGTTTCCCCAACCCAGTACAGAAATTCATGGCCCCGTAGGGAACTCCACCGAAGGCCCTAGTGGTTGTGCTCGCATGCTTGTCCCCCACCCAGTACAACGATTCGTGGCCCCAGGTAGGGAATTTCACCGAAGGCCCCAGCGGTGGTTTCCGCATGCGTTTCCCCACCCACCACATCGCTTCGTGGCCCCATAAGGAGCTCTACCGAAGGCCTCAGTGGCGGCGTTCGCATGCGTTTCTTCCATCCAGTACAACGTTTGGTGGCCCCATATGGAGCTTCACCGAAGGCCTCAGCGGCGGTGTTCGCATGCATCTCCCCCACCCAGTACAACCCTACGTGGCCCTGGGAGCTTCACCGGAGGCCCCAGTGGCGGTGTTCGCACGCGTTTTTCCCACCTAGTCCAGTGCTTCGTGGGCCCTTAGGGGGCTCCACCGAAGGCCCCAGTGGGGACGTTCGCATGGCGGCTCCGCTCCATTTCGGCGCATCCCTCACACGTTTCGTGACCCCATATGGAGCGCCACCGAAAGCTCCAATTGCTGCACCCGCATGCGTCCCCGCCCCATTTTGGGACACCCTGTACATGCTTCGTTGCCCGAAGGCGATACCCACAAAGGCGATATTTGCATTTGCATATGCTGGGGCCCTTCGCCGGGATAATTGTGTCAAATCGTCGCGACCGCGCTTGGGTTACGGTTCAGATGCGTATTGGATGCTCAGATGTTTTTTTCGCAGTGCCTCTCGGAGGCCTCATGGAAACAGTTTTGGCCCCCTGGGGAGCCTTGGGTGTCCCTTGGAAACTTCATGCGGACCTCCTGTAGCCCTGTTGGCTCCTTCGGGCGTCATTATGGGGAGACTTCAGTTCCGGTTCCAAATCACCCCCGAGATCGTTCGATGGGGTCCTCGAGACGCCAGGGAGATCTTCAATACCGCTGAGAACGACCCACAGGCCACGAGCATCCCCAAGTCTGTTAACATTACCATTGGGCGGCTGCTCGGTGTATCTGTTTTAAGAAGCAATATATCCTATGGTGTGCTTATTGAACGACTCTTGAAACGACATTTAGTAAGTACGCTCCTGTTTATATTTATGTAGATGTATATAGATGTATATATGCAGTATGTGTATATGTATGTATCTATGTTGGTCGCGTGCTTCGATTATATCTTTATATACATATGTACATACATGTATATGTGTATGTATACATTTACATGTATGTATGTATGTGTGTATACATATATACGCTGTCGATTCAGCATGGTCGCGGAGCAGGCCGCTTTCGGCCAACGGCAGCGCACGATGCATGCCAGTGGCGGTGCAATGAATACAGATCCCCCTCCCGCCCGCCAGGGCTGGGGCGACGCCAGCACGGCGTTTGAAGTCGTGGAGCGACCCCGCCCCCTCCGGTGCCGGTCGTCGCCGGCCGCCGCCGCTCGAGGGGGGACGGGCGGGAGGTCGGCCTAATCGGTGTTTTGGCGGCTTCGTGGGCCAATTTTCTTTTCGATTCCGTTTTGCGGCAGAGGCAGGTGGAAGACAGCAAAACGAGGGAAGTCGCAAGCACATCGACAACGAGAAGCACTGTTGGGTCGATCCCTGGGAGGGGCCACGTGATGGAAGGCAAATCCCAGGAGGCTTGGCCATCCCTGGCGACTCAATTTTTCGAACCAGGCGTTTTCTCCCAGTTTCGGGCCCTGGGACCGAGGGGGTGCTCAGACTTACGAACAAGACCTCTTGTCTTAGAGCAAGATGTGCGTTCTTGGGCGTCGCGTTGTAAGATCTTGAAAAGTTGCTTTTATATGGGCTTTGAACAAACCGAATGTGGCCGCACGTTCATAGAACGCGCTCGAAAACGCATTCATCAAGAAAGAAACCAGTATTCACCCTGCCCGCCCGCATGAAATAGATCCAATCTACTTCGCTTTTGCCGAAAGCAATGGAAAACGCGTGCGGTTTTTGTTCAACCATCTCTGGCTCAGGTAGAGCCAGAAGGTAGGGGTAGGTGAGGAAGCGATCAGTGGTGGTTGGGGGGCATCCTTAGAGTAGAACTTACCGGGATCGACGTGATCCTCCGCGTCGCTGTCGTTCGTTTCGTCTTCGTGCTTTCGAGGGCCTGGCAAGAGGAGCGCCTGGGCACTTCCCACGAACCTCTTTCAGAGGAAACTTGCAGGCAAACAGGACCACAGGACAGCCTTTGCAACACACAACAACGGGACTCCAACTTGAATCCCGTCTCCAAGAAACGGTGTCCAAATTCCTCCTCCTCCTCCTTCCTCCTCCTCCCTCCTCCCTCCTGGTTCCTCCCTCCTCCCTCCTCCCTCCTCCTCCTCGTCCTCCTCCTCCCTCCTCCTCCCTCCTCCTCCAGCCCTTGTCGGGCCCAAGGTCGGGCCCTTGGGGGCGGCGCACCTGAGAGGGGCGCGGCCGCCCCGAGCCTGCGATGGCACGAAGCTCGAAGTGCGGGCCCAGAAGGAGGACGCCGGCGACGTCCCGAGGGAGTCCGTGGGGCGCCTCGCTCGGGGGAGAAAAAGATACGGATACGTGTTGTCCCCCCTCGTTTTCGGCCTTTCCTGGTCCTCCTGGGGAATCCTCGTTGTCACCGCTGGCTGGATTCGCCTCGAAATTCTGGTCAGAACGCACCCCAAGAGAGGTCCGGGGACAACACGTATCCGTATCTTTCCGCCCCCCAACTCGCGGCGGCGTTGGGGAAGGCCAGCGGCAAGAGGGTCGATTCTGTGGTTGTGGACATCAGTGGCGGCGGCTCCTTCAACGCCGCCATGGAGGGTCCCGATCCTGCGGTTGGGGCGCAAGGTCTGGGCCGAGGTCAACATTATTGCATCGGGGACGCCCGCGATGACGGCGAACACAACGCCAGCTGCGTAGCGGATGCCAAGGACGGGGTGGTCAAGGGCATCGGCGGGGTCGGTGACACCACTGTTTTCGGGTCCGTGGAAGCAGGCGACACCGCCGCATTTCCTCGAGGGCGAGATGATGGACTGGATTCGCAAACCTTGGGTGCAACCAGCGGTGATGCCGCACAACGTGAAGGACAAGACGACCATCGCGGAGAAGCCGACCAAGCAGGACATGGAGGTGACGGAACACGTGAGTCCTCCCTCGGGCTGGCTGGGAGCAAGGCGGGAGCTCCTGGACAACAGGATGGAGTACCCTGCGGCGCTGGTGCAGCTCAAGCGGCGGTGACGCGCAACGAGAAGGCCGTGCATGCGGTACTGGAGGTGAGCAGCAAGGATTCACTGCGCAAGTGCTGGACGGACCTCAGCGACGGGGAAGGCTACATGGATGCGGTGGAGGCTCAGCCTGGGCAGCAGTTTGCCGTGGTGGGCAAGAAGGACGCGAAATATGATAATACGAACAGAAGGCGAACACCAATAAGCACACTAAAATATTTATACGAAGAATAATACGAATAATACGAATAGTAAGAATACTATACGAAGAGTAATATGACTCATAAGAACACGGGGGCGGCGCTGGATGAGAGCAGCCAGACCAGCCTTTCAGAGGACGCCTGCGACGGGGATGTTGACAAGGCGATGGTGGAGAGCCCCAAGTCGGCCTGCGGGGGCGTCGATGCGGAGGTGCTGAACACAAATCGCACATCTCATGGGCGTGCTGGCCAAGTAGGCCCTGTCGGCGCCGAGCGACAACAAAAACTCGGGAGGAGCTGATCTGAGTGAGTGGGGCAGCTCAGGGGGTGGTACCTCCCGAAAGCCCCTGTCAGGGATGGAACCCGACCCTGCCTAGCTGTGGCTGTGGCTGGTGCTGCAGCTCCAGCAAGCGGGGTCGGGTGCCGTCATCGGCGCGCGCACTTCTTCGGAGGTAGCCTGGTGGCACGTCGGGGGGTGCGCCTCCTCTTCGTTCGATGCAATGCGCTGCTGCGAAAGGCCCCCTAAGTCCCTAAGTCCTTCCGTCTTCCTTCTCAATCCTCCCTCCTCCTCGTCCTCCCACTCCTCCACCTCCTGCTCCTCCTCCATACCCTCTTTTCTCCTATCTCCTCTGTTTTCCCAGATCAACCTGCGCCCTTCCCAGGGCGGAGGGCCTCCTCCCTCCTCTTTCTCCTCCCTCCTCCCTCGTCCTTCCCATCCTCCTCGCCACCCCCCTTCACACCTCTTGCTCCCTTCTCCTCCGTTTCCTCCCTCCTCGCCCTTCCCTCCTCTTCCTCCTCCTCCTCCTCCTCTTCCTCCTTCCTACATTGTCCTGAGCGGCGTTGCGAACCTGGAACAGGCACCCCGCCGCGACACCCGAGAAGAGAGGCCCTTTGTACGCATCTTTCCACCCCCCCTGCTCCTCGTCCGTCGTTCCCTATCTTTCCTCCCTTTCCTTCCCTCCTCGTCTCTGGCCCCTCCTCGTCCCTCGTCCTTCCTCGTCCCTCGTCCCTCCTCGTCTCTCGTCTTTCCTCTCCCTCTTCCCCAGTCCCTCCTCCCCTGTCCCGGCCCACCTCCTTCGTCCCTCGCCCATCTGGCCTCCTTCCTCCTCTCCCTCCTCCCTCGTTCTCACTTTCGTTTTCTGGTCTCGTCCGCTTGTCCTTCCCCTTCGCTTCATCTGTCTCGGCCCGCTCGGACGCAGGCGCTGCTGCTCCCTAGTTGCCCTTCTCCTTTGTCCTTCACTCCTTCTCCCTCCCTCCTTCTCTCGAGTTGTCCCTCATCCCGCGCACCCCCCCCCCCCTCTCTGCTCCACCTCCTTCTCTCCTCCCCCGTAACGGGCCCTTTTGGCTCAAACCATTTGGCTTGCCAAGGCTGAATCTCCCTTCAAGGATGGAGGCCACCTCGAGGATGGAGGCTGATCTACGTGCAGTACTCGAGGCGCCCCATGGCCTGCTGGTAGTGCGAGCGGTCGCGGGTGTCATCACCTGCGGTGCCACCACGAAGCGCAGGGTCAAGGACGTGCCGACGATGGTCGCGGCAGCAGCGCGTGGTGTTGCTTCGGCTCCGCGGGCTGCACGGCCGCCCTCAGCGATCGGTTGAGGCTGTGGATGGCCTCCATTCCGCCCTCGCCGGCCTGGACGTCAAAGGGAGGCTGGGCGCAGGCGAAGGCGCGCTTGGGCAGCACGGACGGCTGCGTCCGACTGGACATCGAGCCGATAGCGATAGCGATAGCTTGGGCAGCACGGGGCGTGCCGACTGTGCCCGCTGCCTCGGCAGGCAGAGCAAGGTCCGGAACGGCGTCGCGCAGCAGGATGCCGAGTTGTGCGAGGACAGCCGCGTGGCGTGCGCGGCCAAGAGCTTCGAGAGCTTGCTTCGAGGCGCGCAAGGGGCGCACCTTGACACTTGCGGACCGCCGTCCGCCCCGCGGGATTTTTATCTTCAAAGCCTTTCAGCTATCACAGGATCTTGCGCGCTTCAGGACTCTGCGCGCGTTCGCGGCACGTCTGCCAGGCCGCTCGCACTTCGGAAAAAAAAAAGAGCTTCGAGGGCGAGGAGCTCACAAGGGACTCCAACAGCACCTACGTGGTCGCGGCACGGGAGGTCAAGGGCGGCAGGGTGGAGGCGTATGATGCTGGGTGGTGGCAGCACGTGCGGGGACTCCGAGTTGGAGAGCAGGTGCTAGACACACTTCAGCCTCGCAGCACCAGCTAGGTAAGCAGCAAACCAGCGCGCCCATCATCACTACGAACAGTAGCAGCCGCTGGCAGCGAAGCGCGCCGTGCAGGAACCCAAGACAACGGAGCAGCAGCTGAGGGCAGATGCAGATCCCGAAGCACCCTTGACGGGCGTCATCCTCGGCCGGCGCGGCATAAGCCACAGACGGCTTCCGTTGACCACGGCGTGCAATATCCTTATCCGCGGCAGTGGAATTGGAGACACCTCACAGAGCGTTGCAGAGGCGGTCGTGCCCGTGCACGTGCGCCTCGAGGCAAAACCACGGAGCGTGTCTGATCGGCAGGGGATATGGTCTCGCCTTTGTGAGACCTGGCCAGCCTAGAGTCCAACAGCGCTCTTGCAGATGGCGTGCAGAGTCTCCCGTATGGCTGCATCTCGCTTAGCAGCAAAATCATATGGTAATGCAGAGAGCTGAGCCATTCCGTCATGTGTACCGACCAGGGTGGGTCTAGGACCAATCCCTCGCTCCACCCCACTCCTCCTCATACCGATCCTCTCCTCATCCGATCCTCTACTCCTCAGGTCCTTTTCGTGGCCTGGCGCCTAGAGGAAGGCGCAGAATGCGCAG